TAATACACCCTCTGTCTGGTGTTGCAGTAATTAAACTGTCAAATTTAACAGGTGACTGTCCACTAAATACAAAGCTTTGTGTAGAAAACGGAGTATTGGCTTTCTTAACAGTTTCAATGAATTCTTGTATATGGAACTTGCAAAAAAATGAAGTCTAAAAGAGACTTTTTTTTGGACTAATATGGTTACGTTTTCAACATCTGATCTAGGCAAACGAAGAGCGAAAGTTTACCCATATTGCTATGCCGTCTCGTCGCGTAGGCTTTCTGTTGAACTTTTAAAAAGCTGTATACAAATGGATTTAGAAAGGTTTGTTCAGATCCAATCATTTTCTCAGCCGTTGCAAGAACACAGCCGAGGCGGAAGTTCTTTGGTAATTTAGGCAGGCTAGTTTTCATTTCCCCTTTTTCATTTCCCCATGGGCCTTTGGGGAAAAAACAAAAAACAAAACAGAAATGCTTGTTAATTCTCCTGGAGCAAAGCCAGTGGTGAAAGAAAATATCGCCGTGTCTATTATTTCTATTTCCTTATGGCTTTTCATTGGTCAACAACCTCAGAGACGCAAATAATTATCGATATACAGAAGCAGCTACGCTTGTTGTTTGGGGCCCCATGTCGTTAACATCCGCCAAGTTAGCATAACAGAGTGGAGTGAAGATTTCTGCCACAGTAGTACTAAAGGAAAGTTTATTCAAGCGTTCAAAGTGCTTTAGTCGTTATGTTTTTCGTTCTTATTGTCCTGTGGACTTCAATGACGTCGTTCTGTCTAATTTAAGGGCAATTCTGCATTAGAGGTAAGCCTTGTTTGTGCGGTGCACTATATAGCTAGACAGGGAACATCTTATATGCGCAAAAACTGTTTTCATCTCAGAGATAAGGTAAAAGACAACATTAATAGAACTCAATTTAGTTAATGATTTACATTAATTTCTCTTAGTTCGCCAAGTTCTCTGTCTTAAATAGACCCTGCCACGGTTTAGTTTTTTCCAAGTTTTGGTAAAGACCAGTTAGCAAATATCCATTGATACTTCTGGAAAGAGCGGCGTAAAATTAGGAAACTTACCAAGTTTAAATGTACGACAAAGTCGCGAAATTTTACAAACTTTTGTATGGTAGGGGGCCCGAACTTGCCCCCATCATACATTAACGTCTGTAAAATTCGACGACTTTTCAAAGCTATATGTCTTCGTTAGTCTTCCACAAATTACTTTCAAACTAGGCAACTTTATTGGTTTTAAGGCGTTCTTTATTGTTTCACTAACTATTGAAGTTACAGAAATTTTTGTCTTAATGGTCTAAGAGCGAAAAAGGATACCTTCTTGATATGAATATTTTACCTTGAACTGTTTGTTTTAGTGTGTGTATAGGCATGGATCCTTTTTTAGACCAAAGATTTGAAACAATAGGCGACCGGCAGTAATTAAACTGTCGAATTTAAAGGTGACTTCTCACTACATACAAAGCTTTGTGTAGAAAACGGATCCTTTTTTAGACCAAAGATTTGAAACAATAGGCGACTACAAATACCCCGGGGCAAATACTCAGTCTATTTGGTTTTGCATAAAGTATGGAATTTAACAGGTGTTCACTAATACACAGCTTTCTGTAGAAAACGGAGTATTTGGCTTTCTTAGCAGTTTAATAAATTCTTAAGACATATGGAACTTGCAAATAAATGAAGAGACCTCTTTTTGGACTAATATGGCTCGGTCGGTTAATGCTTAATTTGCAATTTCATGTGAGCCTTTAGCAAGGGGAAATTAGCCTACTGAATAAGATCGTGTTGCGTTCAAGCTGAATCTAAGAAAAGCTAACTGCATTTATTAAACTTAAAATTATTAAGATGTCGTGTGTCTCCAGTGTAAGAAGTCGAAAATTAAAGAAAACCGTCTGATATTTTTTCCCGAATTTGATCATCTGAGAACAAAACATAACAGGCCAAAACGGAATTTATTGACAGCTTAGCTGAGCCTTTGGCTCGACTGTGCGCCCTTACCTTGTTTTTTGTGTCGCTGCAAAACCGTGGCCTCGATCGAGGATCATATCACATACAAGGTAAAAAATAAATCGTGAAATCATTTCAATATCCACCTGGCTTAAAGATTACAGGTTGGCTTTCGGAATAATTACTCTCGTTTATCGAAAAAACAAAAAAAACAAAAAAATTATCACGAGTTGTCTCTAGTAAGTGTTTATGATATTATTTCAACTAGACGAACAAGTTTAAACAAAGAAAGGGCTAACAAACAAGACTTAATTGAAAGTTATGTATTTTATTAACGTTCAGGATGGAATTTCTATCTTCTATTAGTATATCTACTCGAACGTCTGTTATACCTTAAAGAAAAGGTGCCGCGAAAATTAAAGCCGCCAAATTTAGTGACCCATATAAAAACCTTTACTTATTTTAAGTTTTCTGTCTGCTAGGAGTACTTAGCTAAAACTGTCGGCCTAAAATGATTGCAATTACGTCACACCTTGCAAAATATTTGTCCGCCCCGTTTCCTAGGCTTATAACCACGAGTTTTGCAATTCCTATACGCAAATCCGTAGGTATACTGTGTTTTGTGTTCAATTTAAAATTCAGATCGTTTTTAGGTATATGTACACAGTCAGGTACTCTTAGTTGTACCGTAAAACGCCCTGATGAAGTGTGCGCTAGTCACACGAAAAGCGTAGGGGACAATAAAACAATTTTACAACTCAGTGCTGCTCACTGGTTTATCCTTTTAAAAATATTCTTTACAACCACTTGACAGGCAATGTAGGAAAGCAGCACATAGGAAAAGGATGGAACAAAGCGGAAATATTCGAACTTGTTCAAGTGAAGACATTTTTATTGCCTAAAGATCCATTAGAAAACATTAAGGCGATTCTTATCTGAAAGTTAATTGGCAGCTCTATCGAGTTAAATAGTAAAATATGTTCAGTGCCAAAAACAAAAATTTTGAACAATTTATTTGGGTGTAACAATTATTTTTTAAGCGACTCGGGTATAGTTCATCGGGGTAGGAATTTATCTCTTGGGGCATCAAAAACGCTATCTGGAGTCATTATTGTGAACCTGTTGTCGTCTAATTGTTGCTTTCGCTTTTTGCTTTTGGCGCGGTGGTTCTGTAGCACCTTGTAATAACCGTCGAACTTTGAAATACCTGTCGCACTTTTTACTTAAAAATATGTAGAAATTTGTAGTAACAGACCTAAACCCAATAATAAGTACAGTCGACTCCTGATAACTCGAACCCTCGCTAACTCGAACCTCGCGCTAACTCGAACTAAAATCGATTTGCCCTAGATTTCCGTCATACATTCCCTGTAATTTTACCCTCGCTAACTCGAACCCTCGATAACTCGAACTCCCGCTAACTCGAACCAATTTTCGTTTCCCCTCAGGTCATTTTCTATATAATTTTGCCCTCGATAACTCGAACCATGTTCTGAGCCCTTAAAAAGTCGCGAAAAAAAGCCGTCTACTGGCGTCCGAAACATTGAATTTTGGATTTCCTATTGACGTTTTGTAGGAGTATAGTTTACTAGTGGAGGCTGATGTTGATTGTCACAGGCTAACGTGAAGCAGCTTTACTTCTCAAAACAGTAAAACGCATGCTCCATTTAGGCTATGTTTTGTTACGTTACGTTCTGATTTATAATCTAGAAGTATCTTTTAATTTTCACTTGACATTTCTACAATTAAATGTGATTAAAATGTTCACGGTGCTCTACAAACTGTTACCTTACTCTCGGCTATTTTCTCCGAGCTCTCGTTAACTTGAACTCCCGATAACTCGAACTTTTTTCGATTTCCCTTGAAGGTTCGAGTTATCGGGAGTCGACTGTATCATCATCGATAACAACAACAATAATAAAATAACCATAACAATAACAACAATAACAATAACAATAACAATAATAAAAATAAGTAAACATTCCACTGAACGGTTTTCAGCACCCTTTTCTCAAGTGTGGGTGGAGAAAAGTGTTCACATCAACTGCAGCCTTCCGGCTTCAAGAGCTTTGTAGGGAAGTAGAGCTTTTTCTATGTGGACGACCTCGAGACCATGAGATTGTGTCCCAGTAACAGCGAGAGTCCGTAATAATGGGAGTTTGAATTAGAATTTAGCTGCTATCCGTATTATCGGGTTGTCCATAAAAGTAAGGTGTCCCTCTGGCGAAAGGTGATTGTATAAGCAAAATATTTTGAAAGTTTTACTCGTAGCATGGGCAAGATTACCTGCGAGGATATGACCAGATATATCGAGATTTTAGAGGTTATCGCCATGAATAACCACTATACTAGTCTTACATAAGACCAAATTAGTATAAAAACCACAAACTCCGTGTACAACGCGGTGCTACGATCATTATCATAATCATCATCATCATCATCATCATCATCATCGTTATTCTATAGTTACTATATTATCTCAGTAAAAAGTTCTTTACCATATTTGCCCACGCGGCATTCATTTGCCACAATGACTACTAATTCTAACTTTATATCATGAGCGGCTTTGATCATCTTAAAACATCCTCGATAATACTAACAATAAAGCTATTATTACTGTTATTATTGTTGTTATTGTTGTCGATGATGATGCTTATTATTGGGTTTACTTGTCCCCCGACCATCCATTTCAAGTTCATTACATTAATTGCGACCGCTTATTTTATGACGAAGTGCGACAGATTTGTTATTGCAAAGTACACCAAGTGTTATTACGAGGTGCGTCAGGTATAACAAAGTGCGATGATTATTACAAAGTGCGACAGAACATGGTGTAAGAAAATTAATGTTATCAATTTATTTTGTTGAATTTCTTTTTCAAATCATTCAAATTTTTGTTTGCTTTTTTACATCATTTTTCCTCAAGTGAGTTATCGTTGGCGTGGTAGGAGGTTCGCCTGCGATTCGCAGAAAGCCTCTGTAGTCAACAATCAGTCATGAGTTGAATATAAGGTATTGCATTAAATGTCAAGCTATTTTCAGTTAGCTCATTTATTTCCTATTTGTCTCAGACATATGTCGCCAGATAGAGTTTGATCACTCTTTTGATGGAAAACGCCTCAAAAATCACGTGATTCGTACTGCTGAGGTCCAGAGTGAACGATCCTGTCGGACTTTGTGCTACATGGAACCAAACTGCGTCAGTTACAACTTTAACAAAGTCACAAGGAAATGTGAGCTGAATAATTCCACCTCAAGAGAAGGAGAGGAAAATATGGAACCGAATCCAGGTTATGTATACTGTGGAGCTAAGGTATGCAAAGTTTTACAAATTATGAAACTTTGTAAAAAAACGAAATGTTACTTGTTTGGATCGAGGATTGTTTGCGAGTGCTGCAATTATGGTTCTATCACTTTCTGAAGTAATGCAGCCTTGGGGGTCGCTACTGTCAACTTTTTAGAAAACATAATGAAAGTTTTCCAAAACAAATGTAATTTGAAGACAGGTTTTGCCCGCCTGCATTAATTAGTTCTAATGGAATGATTTCTATGTCCTTGATCGAATGATCTGGAAGGGAGAAGTGTTCTGAAACGGCGGTAGGATGATGAAATTGATATGGATTTCTGGCTTTTTCTATGGAGCGTCGTTGCTCTCCAAATCTGTCACTGAACTGGCGTTTAGTTTCGCCGATGTATTGCATGTTACATTTATTGCACTGGATCATGTAAATGAGATTGGAAGCTGAACAGGAATTGTGGTGTGGGATGCGTCGTAATTTCGTTGGTTGAGTAGAAGGTGTGAGACGTGGTTCCAGGGGCGGATCTAGGGGAGGGTGCGGTGGCTGTGCACCCCCCCTGGGATGACCTGCGGTTTTCTAACACAAATGGTATTCTGCAAAAAAAACCAAAAAACTATGTGGTTTATTGGTGTTGAAGTGGAGCAAGAGACGAGTGCACGCCCTCCTAAAAAAAATCCTGGATCCGCCCCTGGGTTCCTTCTGTAATAAAAGGACACTTCTTGCACCTACTTCTGTTACAGCGGAAAGCTCCAGGTGTTTTGGGGGATGGTCTGCGGTGTTTGGCTCTGACTAGGATGTCGCGTAGACTCAGTGCAGCGGCGAAAGGATAGGATACTTTCAGAGAGCCATGCTATAGGGTCAGAACGTCTTAATTGCTGAGTTATGAAATCAGAATGTCAAATTCATTTTCAAATTCATATACGTTCAAAGAAAATTATCTTACAAAAAATTAGCTAAAGTATTATAAAAATTAGGGATATCTTATTTCTTTTCGTGTCCCTAGAACGCTTGTGCAAATAGGCCTTGCAAGAACAAAGCAACCTGTCAAACCGGTTTTACTGGTAAAGGATATCACTGTTTGTGTCCAGTGGGATTTGAAGGGGATCATTGCGAGAACGGTAAGTTAATTAAAATCTTTGTCTGGTCCAAATATTGTAAATTGTAGCAAATAAATAAGGGGCAATATCACGAGAGGTTTCCCAAGTTTTCGCGCAAACTACTGTATTATTTATTCTGTTAGGCGCCCTGAGCGCTTATCAAATTTTCCGGTTTTCGTGGGCGCGTATGTGGTGGGCGCTTGTTCGAGGCTGGGCGCTCATTAAATTTTCATTATTTTCAGCAGGTAGTAAGTGAATTTTTTAACAAAACTGTAAATAATACGAGACTTGAAGATGCACCAGAACAGAATTTCGACTGTTCATTGAAAGGTAATTAAAAGAAAACTCGGTCTTCCGGGAAGTCTCTTTTAGTACCTACAATGGAGGACAAAAGAACTTGGGACTGTGTGAAAAAGCCCTTCCAAGCTATTGTTACGTAGAACCCTGCTCCTAAGGACAATTTTTTTGTTCGGCTTTGGGTTCATCCCGTCGTTCCCCCACTCCCCCTAGCAATGTTGTGGCCAAAAAAGCACTCATTCTCACCCATTTTGCTCCAAATTCAACTTTGTTTGGGGTGGGAGGGGAGGGGTCGCTAGTTTTAGTAATATCACTGGAAAGGTCCCAACACTTTTGACCTCCATTGTAGGTCCAATCAGAAGCACTACCCAGAACTGGTTAGTGACACGTCATCAGTATGGAATTTCTGCGCTCTCTGCTCAGACGTCATTTCTGGGGAAAAATTTAAAGTGGTGGCGTCGCGAAATGTCGATTGTTTTCTTAACTACAGTAATTTGCTAAACCGTTTATTACTCCTGTCTTTATTTTATTTTAACTACGTGTAGTAATTTTTAATTTTTATAATTTTCTAGATGTAGACGAGTGCGCCACTGGAACAAACAAGTGCCGTGCCAATACGTTCTGCACAAATAACGAAGGATCTTACATCTGCACTTGTAATCCGGGATACTATGGAGATGTAGAAAACTGTGAACCGAGTGAGTCTAAAGCATTTTCATGAGTTGTAGGGAGATATTGATCCATTTTTACCCTTAAATAAACCATAAAATCTTTTCTTTGGACTTACTTTCAGGACGGACTATAAATTACTGATGTTGTTACTTAAGTTTATAATTGTTGCTCCTGCAATTTGCCTTATTTTAATCGTCTGTACAAATATTCTAAATAACTCACGACAAGCTTTTCTAGCTCTTATAAATGCTAATGATTCTTTCCATTAAAATATGAACAATAATTTCTCGTAAAAATTTAGGGCAGTAAGAAAATGAAAGATCTGAAATGTCTTTTTAAAGCCGTCACCTTACTTCCCATATTGTAGTAATTAAACTTTTGTAAATTAAATAACCATGTTTAAAACCAGTTAATTTTTTTGTGTAATTTTCTTTTGGCGTAGTTTCGACGTGCAAGGACATTTTTGACAAAAACATGTGAGTTGCCAAACATTATTTGTAGTTTTTGCATTAAAATGTTGAAGCTGGCAGAGTTTGATAGATATGCCAAAGGGGAACGCCAAACTACAACTAAAAAGAGGTTAAGACAAATTAAAACATACGACATGCGGTGACATGCGGTGGGTTCTTTCCATTTGTTAGAGCTGGCCCGCCAGACCAATCCAGTTGTAAAATAATAATAATAATAATAATAGGAAGAAGAAGAAGAAGAAGAAGAAGAAGAAGAAGAAGAAGAAGAAGAAGAAGAAGAAGAAGAAGAAGAAGGAGAAGAAGAAGAAGAAAGGTGCTCAGTGTATGAACAGAATGATTGACTTGAGTGACTGACGCTCTAGGTGCATGGTTTGCGCCCGGCTGATGCACAAAAAGAACACCAGCAAAGACTGTGATAATAGAGACAATAATAATAATAATAATAATAATAATAATAATATGCTCCTCACCGAAAATTTCGAGAAAATGCTTATATCTTATTTTCAAAATTACCCGACCGTCCAGACGGCCAATTTTGACCTCTGGAAATCACCTAAGGATTCAAAATGGTCCCTAGCTTTGGACCTGATTAGTCACGGCACGTGGTAAAAAACGCCACGGTGCCCATGCAATTTCTCTAGTCTTTCTTAAGTGTCTGACTCCTCCACGAGAACTGGGAAGGCATGCATTCGGGAATTAAATATTAAGTTTATACATTTACAAAGGTAACGGCACATCCAGAAATTCAAAAGTTAAGATTTAATGTTAAATTATATCGTGTAATTTCTCTACTGTCTACTGTCATTTCCCAAAATCTTCCGCCGATCTTTGTAATGGACCAGGTAGTATCGTCTCAAGTGAACCAAACATTTAGACAAAGGTCTTGTAATTTCTACTTTCAAGTTCTAGTGAGGACAAAGCATACCCACTGGTTTTGGAGGACGAGGTGATCAACGTCTACAGTCATATGACCATGGGTACGACTGGTAATGGCGCATGCAGTAATGGTGGATGGACGCTGGTTATAAAAATGGATGGCAACCAGGTAAACTCACTTTTAGTTTCTTCACGATATATTAGCCTTAAATACTTGATGAAACAGTATAAATTGAAATTTTTACACTGGAAACAAGCGGCTGACAGCGCCTATAGCTTCTTAAACATTAAAGGAATATAATTATCTAGAATATTCGATAATTTTAGTGTCCTTTTTCTTGAGGCACAGAGTTTATTCAGTAAATACCGTCAGGCTCATGGCGATGAAATGCGTTGAAATGATCACATTATTAATCTTTTTTATTTTTTACACCCTAAGTCGGTCCTTTTAGTGTATTTTGTTCATTTTAATTTCAAGAAATAGTGAAATTCCTGCACGGAGCTTTTCGTATTTCAGCCCTTTCTTTTGTTAACTTTCCGCCATTCTTGTGAATGACTACTCAAAGGACGGTAAGCTGGGATTGAGGAGTGGGAATTCCTCAAGACCATTCTGAGAGATACGGTTAAAGGTTATTAATAAGATTGACTACTTAGATTTCGACTCCTTTTGAGGAGCTATATTTTAAAGATTTGATATCAAAAAATAATATGGCGTTGATTTTCTTTACTTAAGTCAACAAGGCCCTTTTCTTACATTAGACTTCATATGTGCCAAATGATGCTTATGGAGAAAAGACTGAGCAAAAGCTATTGTTTTTGCTCATTTTCGCTCATTTGCATTAGATTGGGGCCATTGGGCACAATTAAGTTCGACGTTTGACACGGGTCTAACTAACATTCCTCCTACAGCCAACGTTCCACTACACTTCCACGCTTTGGCAAGACAAAGACACCTTTAACGTTAATGGAGGGAGGACTGGGTTTGACTCTCAGGAGACAAAACTTTCCTCCTACTGGAACACATCCTTCTCCAAAATTTGCCTCGGTATGAAGATCAACAACCAGGTCAATTTTATTCAAATCACCGAGAGCGCCAGTTCCTTGTATTCACTTATCGCCGATGGACAATACCGTCCTACTTCACTGGGTCGTAACACGTGGTTTTCACTGATTGCCTCTGGCGCCTCCTTCAATGACAACTGTAACAAGGAAGGGTTCAACACCGAGTGCACCTACGCAGACCGCTCCAAAGCAAGAATCGGTATTCTTGGTAACAATGAAGACGACTGTACTTCATGTAACTCCAGGGTTGGGTTTGGTACTGGCGGAAAAAACGACGATTCCAACACATGTGGAAACCACGCTTCCAGCCAAAACATAAAGGCCTTTGGGTATATATTTGTGCAGTAAAAGAAACTGAAAATTAAGCTAAGGCTATATTTTGCCTAGGGAAGAAATTAACCGTGTAAATTTCGTTGAAATGTTTTAATCAGTTACTCACGACAGATCTATTAAACGAAATATTAAGTTGGATGGATGTGCTTCATGTGTTATATGAATAAAGCACGCGGAATAAATGGAGATTGATGGCCATTGTGTCCGGTGTTCCAGATATCGATGTTGCGTCATTTATCTACGCCTTAAGGCAAACGTCTTCACACACCTAGAAAGTTGAACAGGCCACTTTTCTCTAACTTCTGATTTCTTTAAGGGTATATTTTCATCGTTTATTGTTTGTTTGAATAATTGAAAAGTAGATTAAGAGATAGAATGGAGTAGAATGAAGTAAAGAAATAGCTCATCGTTTGTCCCGCGATAGTCACTTTGTTCATCGCGATGATTCTATCGCCTGCTGTAGGTCTACATCAGGCGATGGTGCCGATTTTACTAAGTGGGACTATTAGTACCAGGGTGGTTGCTAGTGAATGATGGATCTGGATCTGAAGCACCTGTTTGCATTGTTAAAATAACTTTTAAGAGAGGTTGTCAGTGAAAACCGGGCAAAATGTTAAACGCAATACGTTCATATTATAGTAATATCATAGACAGATTAATGGTCAAATATTAATGGAGTAATGGTAAAAAGGTGAATAATATAATAAACATAGGTCTGTCACTGCTCTTGTGTTAGAGATACGAGCATTGAGCGCCATCTTTTTTAAAGCAAAGTTTGACCATTTTTTGACGCTCGCAAAGTCCTCACCGAATATAAACGAGCGAAGTTCATTTTTTGTATGCGACACAACACAGCACAGGGCTACTTTATAAAACCATAAACTTTGCAACAGGCACCACTTAAACTGTCTTATTTTACTTGAACTAAACTCGTTGTCTACAAAAGCAAGCCAAAAACGGTCGTTTTTGACTGAATTGATCAAAAGCGCACAACTATAAATTAAAATACTTTAAATTTAGAGCATGATAAAACTCTGACAGCCAAATTGCGGTCTACTATCATCCATGTTACCAAAACACTGATAATCATTTTGGCGCGTTGGAACAGGACTGAAGAAATAAGAAAACTCATTTGTCATTGTTGCCAATTTTTTTCTTGCAAATAGGCCACTGCTATTCGTGTTTGTTCTAAGTCCTCAAGAATTTTCTTCGCTATTTCGCTGTCAAGCCCTATGGTCAGCAGGTAGAGGAAGTATCAAACAGCTCGAAATACTACAACTGTTACATTTTGAAATGGCAAAAAGTGGTGAACCATAGGATACAAATGAAAGTGATGCCATCTTGAAATTCTATACTCGGGAGGGACCGGCACTAGCAGTTGTTTTGTCCCCAAAACGGTGGATTGTCTGTTTTTTGTGTTGCCATGGTGCTGTTGGGTACGGCTGCAGAATGACGGCAATTGCGAAAATCGTGGTTCCTGAGTCTAATTTCAAACAATTGCAAATGTGTCAGTCGCTATATATTAATTATGCTTTCTTTTTTTAAACAGGTTTACGTTTAGTTAGTATGTTGTTTAGGAGCTCATAGTACAATACTGATGGAAATAAACTCATGGGAGACCCAAATGAAACAAGATTTTTTTTCTCGTGCCACTTTACTCATATTAATAGTGTAGTCGGCGACATTTCACCCTAGTCAAAATAATTAATTCTAAGTTGTCGTTCGCAAACATAAAATCATAAAGTCCTTTTATTTTAATTAGTTTGCCAAAACAACTCGAGTTTATTTAACACAAGCATAAAATCCTTGTTACCTTATTTTTTGTTGCCTAGACAAAATAATTTTTTGACCGTCACTAACTAAATTAATTTTCGCCGAGTGTGTTTAATTAATCTTCAAAAAGGGAGTCGGTAGCCTGCGATGCAGATGGTCCACGCATTGTCTAGAACATTACTCTGTTCACTTAGGTGGTTCAGATTGCATGTGGCTAAGAATTGGGAATGGAGTTGCAGTTCTTTTTTTGTCTTCACCTTTTTCCCTAGCTTTCACCCATTTGTTCTTTATTCTCTTACAAGCCTACGGTGATCAAAAGCCTTATTAAAAACGAATGGTTGAGTTAACATTGGTTATCTGAGAATTTATTGTGAAAAGTTAACATTGACTACAATGGACAAAAAAATAAACCTTAATAAAATATTAATTTCTTTTAAATGGGAAGCTTTTCAGGTTTTTCCTTTTTTCAGCTGTCGCTATATAAGTTACTGACCATAATCTTTCTCGACGTATCTCGTGAAGAATTTCTTAATTCTCTATGTTTTCACTTTGCGAGTTCTGGCTTTTCTTCGTGTTGCTTTCAGCGTCAGTTTATGCACAAGTGCAAGGTTAGTTTTCCTTTACGTTGTGTTTTAATCTTTAAATACCCGTAACCGTTTTTAAACTTAATCATAGACATAGCATAAGACTAAGCTTAACACGCTCCCGTCAAAGAGAAGTATCTGATTTTCAAAGTTATCAAAAACGGCATTCTCCTCCTTTGGTTTGTCTTAGAAAAATTTGCGTCAAAACCGTATACTTTTCGCGTAGTTTTTTTGTTTCAGTTTGATGATGATGTCGAAACATAAAGACGAGATGAAGCGGTGATTATTTCATAACCCGAGCTAGTCAGGGTGAATCTCTAAGAAAGATCAAGCCCGCGTAACGATCAGGAAAACTGTTTCGTATTTCCACTGCTAGCCGGCTTCAATCAGAGTTCATCCTAAATTAAGGAGGTGTTGGCTACGGAATCCCGCTGCGTTTTTGCTGTTAACCCAACATTCTTTAAGCTGTCAAATACCTTCGGTTTTTCACCCTTTATCTGTTTGAAACAAACCCTTTCTTGGGACCAGAACCTTTTGTATGAACTTCTTTATTTCTTTGTCTTACTTAATTTTTGCGCGATCATCATCGCAGGCATTGGAGGATCCAGACCCTGGACCCACTGCCAGGGTTCCGGGAATGATGACCACGTGACCTCGTTCCCAAAGAAACTTAATGATAAACTTATTTTGTTATTTACTGCTACTGAGTTCTTCTTTTCTCTTAGACACATGCCGCTCGCTGCAATTCAGAAGTGACCATATCTTACAAGGGAAACGTCTAAGACATCATGTGTTTCGTAGCGTTGATGTCATAGATGCTGAAATCTGTGAGATGTTATGTTTCTTGGACTCAAACTGCGTCAGTTTGAACTTTAAAAAATCAGCGAGCAAATGCGAACTGAACAATTCTACTTTCGAAGGACAGAAAGACAAGCTTGAGAGCAACTTGGACTATCGTTACCATGGAGCTAAGGTTCGCGTTTTGACATAACTAATATAAGTGAAAGATCACAGTTGATAAAATCCCGGGCTGACCCTCTTATGGAAGAGGCTGGGACAATGCCCGTATCCTCTGTTCGGGTTGTAAATTGCAGATTTTGGTATCAGTTAAGGTGTTCAGGCCGGATCACCAATATCTTTATGCTGTAATTTTTTTTTTTTATTTTCGCACACACGTGTCACTTGGGGCTGTGATTAAAGGGGTGAAAAAAAGGTGAAAAAAGAGAGAAAGAAAAAAGAAAAAAAGAATGAATGAACGGACGAACGAACGAACGAACGAAAAAAAAGAAAGACGCAAAAGGCTAATTAAAAAAGTGAGAATTCAGTAACAACGTCGTTCTCGTAAAACTGCCATTTGCACCTGAACTGACTGGTGTTGTATCTGAAATTAAGAAGAAATAGCTGAACTTCACACTAAAACTTAACGGAAATAATGAAAGAATACGTAAAGCATATCGGATAGATGTTATCTACTTTTTGAGGGGTATCTGTAAGGAAAAACATTTATTAATATCAGAAACCGCGCCGAGAAAAAGCTAATACGTTTTGAAGACTGAAAGTCTACGAGGCGGTAAGCTTGTAAAGAACTTAGAAATATTCTGAATGACTAACTATAAAACGCTATTGAATTCGGCTTTCGCATGGTGCGAAGGATTATTCTGACTGATTTCAGAGGATGTTATTCGATACTCCTCGGCCTTCAGCCTCGGTTGAAAACATCGTCCCCGATCTCCATAATTCTTCACATCCAACTCAGCCTCATGTAACAAATTATCTAATCAGACATTAAAAGCATTTATTTAGGACCTAAATAAAGGGACGTACAACTCAGTCAGCACTTATTTCCATCCGCCAAGCTGACGTTGACAGATTAATGATTCGTAGACAAAGTAAGGGTTAGGGTTACGGTTAGGGTTAGGGTTGTTGCTATATATATTCAAATCAAACCATTCGTTGTCCGCAAATCCTGGGTTGTGTAGGGGTTAAAGTGATGCACTGCAAAGCCGATGCTCCGAGATCGAATCCTATTCGTGCCATCCTGAATTTTTTTTCCATAAAAATTAAAGAGACTTAGACTTTTATGAACAGAAATTTCAAGAGACAGAGAAATTTCATGTAAGAAAAGTGAAATGTCTTGTGAGAGCCACTGAGAGGAAAATGTCAGTTTGGCGGATGGAAACAAGTGACGACCGTACAATCTCATCCAATCTCCGTCCAATCTCATCGTCCCTTTCTTCCATAGAACGCATGTGCGAAGAAACCTTGCAAGAACAAAGCAACCTGTCAAACTGGTTTTACAGACAAAGGATATCGTTGTTTGTGTACTGTTGGTTTCAAAGGAAATCACTGCGAGACTGGTAATTCTCGAAAGAGCGTGAGCTGGCAGAAAAGAGAAAGCCGGGGAGCGAGGGCATTATCCTATTTGAATAAACCTTTCCGTTGATTTTAAGAGCCAGCAGGTCATGTGGCAACGGGGCTCTTACTATATACATTGATTGGAAAGAATAACGTGTTCAAAACAATGTGGTAAAGGGCCATTAATATCAAGATCATTTCACTAGTTGATTTTTACTAACGGTCAGGTACAAGGGCTCCTGATAAACACAAATAAACTACCTGGTTAAGCTTGCGGGCGAGAACATGATATCTCCACGGGTGAAAATTACAACATCCATCTCGGCACGCCCATATACCTTATTATAGGAAATTGTCGCCCCATGAAATTAAGCTATTGGAAATTAGGGCGGCTTAAATTAACGCGAATTTCATGAAAACGACTTTCGAATAAAGAAACTTAACGCGAAAGAGAGGGTAGCCATTCAAAATGAAAGAAATTGCGCGCGTAAATTTCACATGGATCAAAACTGGTAGAGACTTATTAAAGAGGAACTTCCGGTTACACGTATTGTACATGATCCGAAATGGAAACTTTTTGCGTGGTACTGGTCACTTTTCACTGTTTTACTGTTTCTGCCGGATCTCCTCTCTGATAGAATACTCCTCTTTCTTAAGTGGCAAGAATGACAAAAGTTTACCGAGATCGAGAATTTGGGACCAAAAAATGGAAGGTGGCGGAAAATTAACGCAACATAAATTAACGCGAATTTTTGAAACTCGCGTTAATTTCTTGAAGCGTTAATTTCCCACAATAAGGTAAGATCCCCTATATCTTGGGCATTATAAAGATTCGGGCTTCATCAAAATATTTGGACTCAAAGTGTTGAGTTATTTCTTGAAGTTTCTTTCATGCAAAGATTGTAAATATTTTTTCCTGCTTCAGGAATTACCGAGTGCACTTCGAGGACACACAACTGTAGCGTGAATGCTTACTGCCGTTATACTGTGGACGGATACAACTGCACTTGTCATCCGGGATATTATGGAGATGGGTTTATTTGTGAACAAGGTGAGCTGATACAAAAATTACAAAAATCAAATTACCTCTTGGTGCCCATACTGCTTACAAATAAAAGTTAGGCGCGGCGGCTTCCATTCTATCTTATTTTGACGGAGTTTCTCAGGGTTTTCACAGTGATATTAGGAGCAAATTTTGACATGCAGGCATTCAGGATTTCAGGATAATAATGAAAGAACGTTCTACAATCTAATGAGTATTGCATGGACATAGCTTGAACTCATGACACCACTCATCAACCACTTTGTCGTGAGCAAATGAAAAACAAATTGTGAATTGCCCATCATTCTGCGGTATTTGCTTTCGATAAAGTTGGAAGGTATAAGTTCTCAATAAGCTGTAAGTACAGTGCTCTTGATATATAGCTATCAATCAATCAATCAATCAATCAATTAATCTTTTATATTCCTCCTAAGATGAAACATATATCTTAAGTTACATTTAAAAATGGAAGTCTAAAAATATACGTAAGAAGCTAGTATTATACTAACTTACAATAAAAAGAATCAGAAAGATTATATCTAAAAATGAGCCCATTTAGAAAAACATTCTCAAATCTATCAGACTTGATTTCCGGGTGATGACCAGTTCTGTTTCGAAGATCATACTTTGTTTCTTTCTTCTTCGGAATCATCCTCTATTCAGTGATTGTTACTAAGCGGGAAATCGGGATTCACTGAACGTACCTTGAAACGCTTCAACCCTGTCTGCCTTTTCTAAAAGGTATCGACTGTCCGTTATCTTATATGTGTATTTCCTTAAAGCGAATCTATTTAGGAAGTTTTGTATGATCTGAGTCTACAGCGCCATAAACAGATAGACCATAAGTGAACAGTCGCCTCTAAAGACTCTAAAAACACTTGCCCTATTAATCTTTGTGCTTATTGTCACCGTCTTCCTTTTTTAGGAAAGCATCAAACCCATGCAAGGAAAGCAGTACTAGTAAATTAAGACGAAATTACTCAATATCTCAGTTTTATATTTCTGACGCTTGCTAAGGCAATGGATCTGGCTGTTTGATTTAATACTATTCCGGCTCCTTCCCCCAACTTGGAAATTAAACCATATCACCCCTGACAAAACATTTTTCAAAATTTAAGGTAGAAATGAAATAATCAATGTATGTTTCCTTCAAGAAAAATCTACAGGGAACTATTGAACTAGCTTTAAAGTATCTGTACTTATATATTATTTCTTTTTCATTGGATCACAGTTTTATCGTGCAAAGATATTTTCGACAAGAAAATGTAAGTGGATTAGTTTATTATAATAGTTATTTTCCGGCTGCAGAAGGCACTTGATTTGATTTGAGAAATCATTATTATCCGTTATTTTCTCTGTCTTTTTATGTAATTCTTCAATTTAGATCTAACATGTCCAATGCGTACCCGCTTGTTATTGGGAATGAGGTTATCGATGCTTACTGTCACATGACCATGGCCGAGACTGGAAATGAAACATGCGGTTATGGCGGATGGACGCTGGTCATAAAGATTAACGGAAATAAGGTATCCTTCAGTCGTTTCGAGGGCGTGGAAGCCTAGCTGTTTATTCCTGGGTGAACTAAAAATAGAAAATGGGGTTGACTGCTATCCGAAGACGAAATAGCTGAATTTCAAAGTAACTGAACTGAAGAAATGCAAGAATGCACAAAACATATCGAATACGATGGATTAGGATAAGGATTAGGATTTTTAGACTCTCGAATTCGATTCTGTAAACATTCTTAATATTTCGCCAATTTTTGTACATAAATATTCACAATTTCCTATGATAGTTTTTTGCATTATCTAATTTTAAAACTTTTCATTATTTTATCCGGCTATACTTTGTTAACCTATTTTAGAGTCATATTTGTATCTCTATTATTGTAATTAGGGCATAATAATAGCCAAGCAAATGGGGTCCTAATAAATTGTATGTATGTATGTACGTATGTATGTATATCGCTCGATGGATTTTATCTTTTTTTTTATTTGAGGAGTATCTAAGAGAAAAAGCATCTCTTTTTGTCCTGAAACCGTGCCGAGAAATAGGTTAGTTTAAGAGGCCTTCAGCCTCGGTGGTTAACATCCTCCGCGATCTGCATAATTCTACTTCACATCCTACTCAGCCTCATTCAGTATTTGCAATATTATTGTTACATAGCTAGAAATTTCTTCCCAACCGCGCGCTCTCATTGGTTACTTCGAGGTCACATGAGAACTAGCAATGAAACTGTTTCCCGCCAAAATCTCTGAGCAGCCAAAATTTATGACGTCAGAGGGCAACAGTGCACTGTTACCCGCGAATGTTGACCGACAACCGCCGTTACAACAAGGTTTAATGAATTTCCAGCTTCAAAACTTCCAGCTATGTAACAAATCACTTTAAGACGGGTCCCTCGGAACACAAAAGTATCTTTTTCCGTCGGGACTAGTACTTAAGTGTTTAATGATACTTAAATTCACACGTATCAGTTGTGCTTTTCGCGAAATTGTCGTACCCGACATTATCGCCTGTTTTCTATTGTGATTGCATTGATAGCGAACGTTTCACTACGACTCCAGTCTTTGGAACAACAAAGAAGCCTTTAACCTTGACGGAGGGAAGACTGGGTTTGACACACAAGAGACCAAACTTCCCTCCTACTGGAGCACATCCTTCTCCAAGATCTGCCTCGGTATGAAGATCGGTCAGCAGATCAAGTTTATTGTAATCAACAGGACCGCCAGTTCCCTGTATTCACTGATCGCTGATGGGCAATACCGCAATACTTCACTGAGTCGTGACACTTGGAAGTCGCTGATTGGTTCTAATGCCTCCTTGGAGATCAAATGTAACAAGGAAGGGTTTAACACGCTGTGCGATTGGAATAAGTGCTCCAAAGCAAGAATCGGTATTGTCGGAAACAAGGGTAACAACTGCAATTCCTGCAATTCTAGAATCGGATTTGGCACTGGAGGAAAACCGGATGACTCTATCACATGTGGAAACCAAGCTTCTAGCAATGGGGACAACGGTGCCAAGAACATTAAGGCCATGGGGTACATCATGGTGCAGTGAGAAGAAACGGATAATGATTATAAATTCAAATTATGTTGCGTAGTTAGCTCGCTTACCCTATCTTAAAGTTGTACAAAGTCGCTATGGTACATGACAGTATATCTCTATATTTACGCAAGGTGTATTTCTTTAAGGTGCGGCGCAAAATGACAGGTTTTCACCCTATCATTCTACATACTTCAACTAGTGAAATTCTATAGAAATTCTACATACTTCAGCTTGTGAAATCCCTAACCTGAGGCCTGAAATTCTGGCGGAACCTTCCGCCGCGCAGTCAGGCCATAGTAGGGAGTAACCCTAGGTGTCACCGTTCCTCTCTTGAGGGAGGAAGATCCTATAAGCCGGAATTTCGGTCCGTGTGGATGCCAAGTAGAGAATTAATTTAATAACAAACATGCAATACCTTACATCAGCAGCAGGTGAAGTGGTAGAATCATCACAATTATTAGCTCGTAGTAACGGTAAACGAAATTTTCGGCATATTTAATGGTTTGTTCCTTGTACGGAGCTAGGAACTTGACCTTCTGCTAACCTGGGAAGATCCTAGTACGAGGAAGATGCTAGCGCCTAGGACAAGTTCAACGCTTTGCATGTAAACTGATCGCTGAATACAGAAAAGATATGGCACTAGGATGATCTGCCTTCTGGGATCTTCCTCCCGCCATGTTAAGACCTCCTTAAGTCAGCATCACGAAACGAGAAGCCAGTGTTCCCAACGTCCTCAAGCAGGTCTATCTGGTATTCGGTTGCCTGTACCGTGGCGTGAACATGCGTATTCTGATGTAAGCCTTGATTCTTTCTAGGCAGAAATGATAGGTTCCTTTTGATGTGGTCTATAAGTGTATTATTAGATTTCCCTTTTCACATTTTAAACTTTTGTTTTCTGGTAGATAAGTGTTTCATTGCTAACCCTTAAGTATACATGATGATCGTCACTGACCTCTTCCGTCATGTACATGCATGTGGGTAATTGGGATCTTAGATCTATGAACACGCAGCACGTAACACCTCCTCATTTGGCAGGTCAGAGAACAAGCTAAGGCGGTTTGTCCTGGCCATAGTAGATTAGCCTGCGAGCGTGGCAGACGTAATTTAACCTCGGTTAGTAACGTCTGCGAAGTTGCGCCGAGATCCGTTTTCTGTGAACCCAACAGACTCAACGAGTTACCAGAAGTGTGTTTCGAATTTCCTTTCAACCTGATTGGCAAATCGACAATGGCTTTTTTAAGTGGCCAATCATGGCGCTTTCTCAAATCCTGGTATACATGGAAGGGGGGCAGAACAAGGATTTCGGCGCTGTTTCGTAGATGGACTTAACAAAGTTTTGTTTCGTCTGAGGCGCAGGCTACTCGGTAGACTAAGTGGCGTCTGCTTGGCTATGTCTATAACATGCGATCAGGCGTTACTTTATTTTCCGAGAAAGCGCGAAAGTCAGAAGACATGTCATAATTAACTGATTAAATTATTATACAGTACTGTTTAATACAAGGTATCCACCTGAACAGCGCTTAATAACAATGTTTAAATCATTATTATCCTGCGAGCAGAGGCCCTTCGATCTTCCTCTGCTCGCAGGGTAAAACATTACAGGATTGGGGGTTTCTCTGCAATTGCATTCTGAGTGCCATATCCGCCTATCGGTTTCTTACAAGCGAGGTGATATGTTTATTTCGTTGACTCCAAAAAAAGCGTTGTAACTGGGCTACACAAGGCGGTGAGTTATTTTGAGTGTTACCAGTTGTGAACTAGACAGACTAGACAAACATCGAGTCCGAAAAACCTGCGAACGTTCCTCCGCGCATGCAAAACTATATATTGTACAATTATCTAATTATGTAAAGACAACTATAATTGTATACTTAATATAAGCTGGAAAAACTGAAGCTGCTACATGTAAAAATTGGATTATAGAGAGACCTAACGGGAATCAATGCTATTACAAGAAATTCGATAGTTTTTCAGAACTTTGTATTAAGTTAAACGTACTGTTCAATCTCTCACTTTGCCGATCGTATGAATGTTCAGTAGATGGCTTGATGTAACTAATCTTAAATTATGGACTTCCTGCTTGGCTGGTTATGACGAACCTTTGGAAGACCAATTGTTATACTAGCCGTGTCTCTCATGTTAATTTCAACAGGCAAGACTGCTGTTCTGATGACATTTCATTAAATTCAGACTGGGTTTCTACTGACGCTCGATTGTAAGCTAGTATAAAAAGGTGAGCTAATAGAGCAAACACTGTCACCATTGGCCGAAGCCCAAACTTATTAAAAGAAAAACTTAATAAAATTTTAATAGGGATAGTTCTAATTAGCTTTCACTTTACAAGACATTAGCCTTCACTTGGTTCGAAAAACTCGTCAAATTGGGCTGAGTTACGACAAAACTTTAACGATCTTGTCAACTTTTCTCGTAATAGGCCATGTTGCTCCTCTTAAACTACCACAGGTTTTTATTTTTTGTGATGCTTTATGCAATGGATGCTCAAGTACAAGGTAAGTGTGTAAAATTAATGTAGACTTCGTTTTAACCCTTTCACTGCCAGATTGTTTGATGGGGTTTTGTAAGGTGACTTTAACTTTCGATTCTATGGACGAAATCCTATGATGTGACCATTCAAATGAAACCACTCTGCCTGTACTTTCACATGATGCTATTTGCATGTCAAAATTTTAGAAAATGAAATGTGGAACTTTGGTCGAAATTTGCACTTTGGCCACATTTGGCAGTGAAAGGGTTAATGTCCTTTCAGATTGATTTTCTAATATTTCTTTTATTATTTTTGTTGTTGTTTGTTTGTTGATTTTTTTTTTACAAATGGACGGGACTAGGAAAAATGATCATAATCAATTGTTTACGACATTACAGTACACAACTGAAAAAAAAAACTACCCGTTCGTCAAGCCCAATGTTTACTATTTTACTGTGGGTTCAGCTGTAGGTTAGCAAAATAACATGGGTGCAGATTACGTATGCGCTGTCAGATGTAGTGCCGGATCAGAAATGCGACATTTTTAAATTATTGATTTGAACGTAGCTTTTATTGAAAAATTTTTAAAATTTCTTTAACTTTTTTTTAAATCTAATATTGTATGTGAACTATTCATTTGGAACAGATGCCAAATAAATTATTGAAGCATCCTCCCGTGTTCAAAAATATATTGGTTCGCTTATGTTCCTTCAGTTTGAGTCGATTTCCTGCTGTGACAATCAATATCAGCAAAAAAAGATCCTAAAAGATCAAAGCTTTTATTCAAGAACCATAAGGAGAGGATATAGGAAGGTCTGCTCAATATCTTTTATTTTACTCTATTTATATATTATTTTTTATCTAATTCGATGATGACAATGAGTGAATCTTGCAATACCATGCTGAGTTTTTAAATAACCTGATAACTGATACCCCTTTTCCCTTTTTTCCCGAGTTTTTGAAAAAAAATTTCACATTCTATGTATGCTATAACGTGGTGCTTTTTTAAAATTATTTATTTGTTATGCCATATCTTGAAATTTTAATTTTGCTGTCAATCTTGTAATGTCATTTTCCGGCCAAAAACCGTTAAAATCGAAAAACAAAAACACAGGATTTTTTGGAATACAAAGTTCTACGATCCTGCAAAGTTTGAGCTCAAGCAAATAAAAAGTGCAAAAGTTAAGTACTAAGGTTGCAGCTTTTTGCGTCCACGACGGTAGCTTATCAAAAGCAAATTACAAGTGAAAATGTGTTTTTTCCCATTATTTTTGCCAATTTTATCCTTGGCTAACAAAGCTGTGAAATGTAAGGTATATGGGAAATTGCACTCTGTGCTGGTTACCAAACTGTTAATTCTGTAGTAAGGGCTGTCCACACTGCCGGGAACCAGCAATGCCTTGGTACCGGAAAAGAATGGTGTCGTGTACACACTGATTTATCATTGGTACGTAGTTACTCCATTTTGCCCTGTCAGACGCCATTTTGAAACATAAGGTTAGCGTCGTCGAGTGCAATTCAATGGACTACTCCAGACTGACTAACATAAACAGTGTGCACACAGGGACCCGGTTCACACTTTTGGCCCGAACCTTAGCCGCAGTACTATTCTTGAAAAACAAGGGTTGGTTCGCATTTGGTTATGGCGGTCGTTTTACCTTTACCGATCACAGTTAAAGTTAAATTAAAACATCTTTTTCTCGTAGAATTTGACAACTTGTTCCATCCTAATCATGATGTTCGTCAAGATTTCTTCATAAAAGAAGAGTACCATTATCTAAACGTGTCTAAAGTTGGAACATTCACAGTGTATGACAACCTTGACTGCACTTTTGAATGTCGCGGTAATCCTTTCTGTTTGTCCATCAACCTGGCCGCTTACAAAGGAGCAGATGGAAAGTTGCAGTGTCAGTTGCTGTCTTCAGAAAAGTTCAGGTTGCACGAGGAGTATAAAAGACACAATAGTTGGCATCATTTCTTCGTTAAGGTGCACTATGGAAATATTAAAGACTAAAGAACACACTGCGTAACACTCACTACCTACATGTACATTTAGCAAAAGCTTAAAGAGACAGCCATTGTGGGACGCTAGATACTGTTACATTTTAATCAAAAAACGTTTTTTCTACTGCATGAGTTACGTATATATACAACTGTTAACAAAAGCACAGCGACGAAGAAAAATATTATATGTGAAAATCTAATTTTAGATGAAGGGTGCGAAATACCAAAATGCAAAAATGGTCAACATACAGTTGCACATTTCAGAGAATTTAATTTGATTAATGAATACTTTCAGTCAATCAATTCAGATGTAACAAATTTCACATCGCCACACAAAATAACTGCTCCATGATTTTAATACGAAGGAAAAATTATAGCGAGTTTTGCTTGAAATTATTATGTGTAATAAGCAGATAAAGATGACTTTGTTCTTACAGACTCTATGTGTGCTTTCACCATGCCTAAACGGAGGAACCTGCTTGCCAAACTACAAATATCGCACGTCTATCTGCCTTTGTATTGAAGGATCTGTCGGTGAATTTTGCGAAATAGGTAACTATAACCCACAGGGCCCAGTTGTTTAAAAGGTGGATGTGTCCGCTGAATCATCCAGTGGCCATGAGTAACGCAATTGTTTTCTCTAGAACTCATAGTACAGTGCATGCATGCTGATTTATCCAGTGAAATATTATTATTCATCGCTTGAACAACCGGGGCCTCATGTATAACTTCGTATACAGAAACTAAAACAGTCGGGTAGGTAGAGGTGTACGGTCAAAAATGAAATAAAGTAAATATATATGGAAGTGATTAAAAGAAAAAGCAAATAAAAAGGTAAATATTCCAAAACACATTTAAAAAAGGTATTTTAGGTATTTTTAGGTATTTTTATTTATTTGCCACACAATTACATTACTTAAAGATGCCAAAAGAAAAAAAAAAAAAATGTAGGAAGAGATGGCGAGGAGGCCTAAAAGAAACTATAGAGCTTATGTTAATTAGGCCTCCTCAATTACAATTTTTCGAAGATGGCATAAAAATTACGGCGACGGGTACAGTATAATATCAGGTGAAAAATTAAACTAATCAATATTACGGAAGTTTACATGTACAAATGTTGAATACTAAAAGGCTTTTTCCCAAGATTTTTGTTGAAGTATACTAATAATTATTACAAATAAATGCCTTAAGTGCTTTTTTAAAGGAGAAAGGTGAGGAAGCGTTGATGATGTTGGTGTTTAAGGTGTTGTAAAATTTAGGTCCTTGATAAAAAACGGAAAATTGCTTGGTTCGAGTACGACAGAAAGGCAGACGAAATTTACACGAGTTTCTTGTATTATACGAATGAATTTGACTTTGTAAGGTAAATTTACAATGAAATTTTAAAGGTAGAGTATGGTTTTGATAGGAGTACATGAATAAGCCTAGTTGTATTAAGTATATATCATGAAATTTTAAGATACCAAGATTTTGAAAGATTGGATCAGTATGTGCATCGAAAGTGGTTTTAGCTATAGTTCTGATCACTCGTTTCTGTAAAATCTCAAGACGAATAAGGTTAGTTCTGTAAGTAGAGGCCCAAACTAAGTTGCAGTAAAAAAGGTATGGATAGACTAGAGAAAAATATAGTGTTCGTAAGGTTTTCGTGGATAAATAGAAACTGGATTTACGAATAATTCCTGTGCATTTAGAAACTTTATTGGCGACATGTGAGATTTCAGATTTCCAATTTAAATTTTCGTCCATGATTACTCCCAGGAAAACTGTTTCTTTTACTTGATCAATTTTTTGACTATTAATTAAAAGTTGAATAGTTTGATTTGTACGCTTTTGGGATGGTTAAAAATGCAATGAATTTGGTTTTTTCAAGTTTAATGAAAGCCTGTTAGCTCTAAACCATATTGACAACTTATTTAGTTCAGCGTTAAGTATATTAGTAAGGCAGTCTTTATCCTTGTGAGACACAAATACGTTTGTATCATCGGCAAATAGTATCAGTTGTAATATTGTTGACGTGTTGATTATATCGTTGATGTAGAGTAGAAAAAACAAAGGCCCTAGTATTGAACCTTGGGGAACGCCACACATGATATTAGCACGATACGAAACATAACCATTGTATTCTACAAATTGAAGTCTGTTGGAAAAATAGTTCTTAATCCATTTCAGAGCCAAGCCACGTATACCATAGTGTTCAAGTTTATCAAATAAGATGGAATGATTGACTGTATCGAAAGCTTTCGAGAGATCTAAAAAGACACCAACCACTAATTCACCACGATCAAAAGAGAAAAGCCCTGAGAAAATGGTTCAGTTAAATTCAAAATTTCTCTTAATATACTTTACATTTGCATCAACTCCAATGTTATATTTGTCTTTCGATTACCAAGGTGGAAAAGAAAGCCAGCAGGAGCAACTTTTTCAAGTTCGACTAGATATCGCAAAATGACCAAAAGATAACATTCTTTAACATAAAGACTTCTGCTCTTAAGCCATCATTGTACTTAATCGAAAATAAAATACAAACAGTGGTGATAAACAATGCGAACTTTCGCATTTTACATAAACTTGACCAGGTTTGGTAATTTGCTAACGTACGTTAATCTTTCAAAAGTGATCAAAAGTGACCGTTACAGATCGACTACGACAAAACTATTTATACAAAATTGACAGGGAGTCTGTGAACGAGATTTGTAATATTCTTAGGATTTCGTAAAATAGTTTTGTATCGTTCTATGACAGTCATGTTGATCACTTTTGAATTTATGTTGACACAAGACATGCGAAACGCCAATTTTATATTAGAATGGGAAAGTTCACAAATGTTTATCACCACTGTTTTCATTTTATTTTTTATTGAGACCATTCTTACGGTTTCTCTTTGACTATGACCTGGCCTGCAGCAATTGGGGAATGAAAAAATGAACTAATTTTAAAAAAAGTACTTTTTAATAATTACTGGAAAATTTAACTCAGTTACACAGTTCTTTCTTCTTTCTTTTCCAGCCGCAAAGTCATGCAAAGACTTGTATGATCATGCCAAGTAAGTAACAAATATAAACATTTTGGAATCCTGCTTCCGCTTCCTCGTTACTGCTTCACAAGCGTGGGGAGGGGGGTGGGGGTTTACTCCCTTACGCAAGCCATGTAGATATGTGCCGCCCAGAGCATCGATATAGTTTTTGCTTCGTTTTGATCTGAAAACTTACTAGTTTAGACTTTGCCATTTTGGTTAGGTATTGGGTATGGTTTTTGAGGGAACTAGTATAGGGGAGTGCAAGACAGTATTTATCGTTTCAATTCCAAACGAATACGAAAGAAAAAGAGTCACGTGCGCATTCAAATTCAAAAGGGATTTTAAGAAATCGTTTTGTTGGAATCTTAAAGTAATGATGACATAATTTCTTCGAGGCCAGGTCTAAAACAAGGTTGCGCAAGATGAAATTTTGTGAACTGAAAGTACTGCCCCTCACTGCCCCTGCCTCTGGCTCACATGTTATTTAGCGATGTTATTTCTTCGTCTTGCTCTTTTACAAATGGATAGCAGGTGGATGAGGAATAATAATGTTACTACGCTTCTCTTCGATTCAAAACCAACTTTCATTCATTGTCACTTTGGAGATTTTGGATGTGGAGATGGGGCATGGACGCCGGTCATGAAGATAGACGGCAACAAAGTAAGCTAACGTTGTCAGTGTACAAGCTTTTCAAGTTTGTTCTCAGTTGAAAAAGACTGGCCTTTTTTCTCAACTGCATTAATTTAAGGCGCAAAATATCTCTCCCATAATAAGCCCACTCGAAGACAATCCCATAAAATACATACGCCTCGGACGGCTTTTGGGGAATTTTATGACATATTAACCGTCATTAGCCAGGACAGTTCGCCGCTCAGCTGAACTGACATCTACCAATATAATAGTCTCAGACAAATTATATATTAATGGTCACTACTCTTTTTCTTTAAAAGCAAACTTTTCGCTACACATCCGCTCTCTGGAGCAACAAAGAAACCTTTAACCTCGACGGCGGAAAGACTGGGTTTGACAGCCAAGAGTCTAAATTACCATCTTACTGGAAAACAGCGTTCTCTAAAATCTGCCTCGGTATGAAAATCGGCCAGCAGATCAAGTTTATTGTCATCAACCAGCAGGCGAACTCCTTGTACTCTCTGATCGCTGATGGGCAATACCGCAGCACCTCACTGGGTCGTGACACGTGGAAGTCGCTGATTGGCTCTGAGGTCTCCTTGCAGTTCAGCTGTAACAAGGAAGGATTCAATGCCATATCTACTTTGGAACAAAGTTCCAGGGCAAGAATCGGTATTCTGGGAAATAATGAACTTGACGAATGTGATTCCTGCGATTCTAGAATCGGGTTTGGTACTGAAGGATATCCCATTAATCACAACACGTGTGGAAACGTGGGACATAACACAGGTGGTAATGGTGAGAAGGACATTAGAACCATGGGTTATATCTTAGTGCAATGAATTTCTTAATTTCTCGTTTAAGAAATAAACATAAAGAAGATCATCACAGTTATAGAAACAGATTTATTTGCAAATACGAAAAATGACGGAAAAAATATTCATTCTTTACGGGATTTAGTCGAACCTTTAATTTGACATGGATAACAGCGCAGCACTCAGATAACTTCGTGAGCTTAATATCCAACAGGAAGCGAAGAATGAGGATAAAATAATTTATTTCTAAAGCTGATTTTATTCAAAGGCGAATTGCTTGGATTTGGGGAACTGCGCATTGGGAAGCTATTGTGAGGGTCTGAAAGGGGTTAACCGAGCGTCAACCGTTAATTATAATACAACCTAAAAATTGACCGTCAACTGTAAAAAAGGTTATTTTTTACTCAAAAACCGTGAAAAACGCAGATTTTAACCCAAAAAGTTTCAAGGTATTTCAAATCTCACTATTTCAGGCCATCTTCACGGGATTCTGGCTCCTGAACTGGAAAAACCAGTTGAAAAGACTCTTTCTATTATTTCTATTACAAGGCCTTGAACCTTCTAATGTCCGAAAGTATTTCGAAATTTTATAAGGGAAAGGTCAAGACAGCCTCCTAACGCAATTAACAGTTAATACCAATTCATATCATACAGAAGTTAATTACTAAATTTGTACTTAATTATATAACGGTCAACCGTCAACACTACCACCCCATTGAGACCCTCTATTGTTTAGTGGTCACTCAGGCAAAAGTTTAACCTCCTCCGCAGACATTCTTAGGCGTGCGTCACGCGTTGCCACAAATCGTGGGGAAGGAACGCGTGACGCACGCCTAAGAATGTCTGCAGGGGAGGATAGCAAAAGTTCGGTATTATATTATGCTCAAATGCCAGTTACGTACTACCAATGACCCTCGGGGGTACTCCCCTGTATAAGCCATATGGTTTTTGCGCCGTTGCGGTATGAAAACGGGTATAGAATTTGCCCATGTTCAGGCCTGGAATAGGTATGGTCTTGGAGGGAACCACGGGAGTGTATGAAATGAATTTGTCGTTTCAATTCCAAGTGAACGAGAAAGAACTGACTAATATGCGAATTAATAAAGGGCTTTTGTTGGCGATCTAATCTAAGTTACCATGACATACGTTCTTTCTACGTAAGGTCTGAAAACGCGATGGATTCTAGGGCGGGGGGCGAGCTCGTATTATTTCTCTTGAACATGTCCTCCCCTCTTGCGAGGACCGAAAAGGAAGACATATCTAAGGCGTGGCCGGGAATCGATAAAATTAATTTGTGTCAGAGCAAAGAACGTTTTCCAGTCGATTCGTAGCCTGCGAGCAAGATCTTCTTTTTCGGGAGTCGCTCTCACGTTTTCTCGCGGCTCGCTTCGCTTACCATTCGAAACGGTGACGATATGGACAAATTGCTCGCAGGCCTGTCTTGTCACAGGCTAATGCAATTGCTTTAAGTGCGGTGTGGGAACAGAGTAGCAGGAAACAGAGTTATTTTTCTGATCCTTCATCTCATTTTTAATCACAAGCCTCTCTATGGTCAACTGCAGACCTCGATTTCGTGGTGCGTTTTCCATCAAAAGAACGGTCTTTTGCTCTACTAGCTATGCGAATTCCTTCTATCTGTTCCATAACGGCAAAAGAGAGTCAGAGATTAATGACGAGAATGGGGCTATCACTAGTCCCTTAACATCTAGAGTACATTATTATCCACATGATTTATTTGAATCCGTTAGTTAAAAACACCAGGAGAAAGATATTACTGCGGTGATAGAATTGGTCGTGCTTTTTTTTTTCCGTTCCCTCCCTCTATTGGATAAAATAGAGAGTTGGATGCATTTATTGTAGTACATTTATTACCCAGTTAACACAGAATTTTTCAATCATGGAAATATTAATATTTATTTAATATTCAAAATTTGATTTAATCTCATTGTGTTAAATACTCTAAAAATGTTAAATATGACAGTTATGTGTAATAATGACAGTTATGTGTAATAAATGAACCATATCACTTTTGAAGCCTCGTTTTATCGGAAACTTAGTATTTTATAACTTTGCAAGGAATAAATAGTTAGACGTATTAGACATTCTGCTTTACAGAGACAAAATAGCGTCAATTATGAATAACTAGACACTTGTTAACATTGTTCCTAGTTTTCCTGACAAACAATGAGAGGGATACTTTTTTCTTCTGAGATTTTTCACTTTTATGCAGTCACTGCATAAAGTAATAATTATTCATGTTCATTGTATTTTTTATTTTAAGTTTCACCCTAAAGCCATTTCACATAATCATTTCCCTTTACTATACTAAAAAGATTTGTCCAGTTCACATAAATCGGTGTCAGTTCCAAACACATTACTAGTAAGTTCAAAATGACAGATAACTAGAACGTGCCTCATTTGGAAGCCGTCAAATTGCCCTTAACATTGTGATTCGTCATGTCAACTGCCACTCTAACGTACATGGCATCGTCCTTGATGTATCCACCTTCTCGGAGTCTAGAATGGGAAATGAAAGTTGGACAACCGGATGCTATGTTCATGTCTGACTTTGGCCTTTTAAAACTGGAACTGTTAGCATCAGGACGAAACGAATCACAAGCGTCTTGGACTCTGTCCTGATCAATAAGTTTAAAGTAGACTTTTTGATTGAAAGGCCAGGGTAACAAAGCGTCGTATTCACCTCTCATGATAACAAAGAATATTGACAGGTGCGTTCCTTTGCCCATTCCATCACCATTAGGGTAGAGACGAGCGCTCACTTTGTACCCAAATCGTCCAACGTAGAAAGGAGGGCTATAAATAGATGGCGTTTTACCAGAAGCCGCTTCTTGAAATCTTCGGCTAAAATGGTCGATTTTCCAAAGGTAATCTCCATCGTAAGAAGTAGCCTCCAGCATTCTAACCTGAAGATCCTGTTCAGATAGCTGAATTTCGTGTAACGCTAGTTGGTGCTCAGCCCTGTCCAAACGCCCCTTGTAGTGATGCAAGGAGGAAGAAATTTGAGGCTTTTCTCCATTTTCTCCAAAGATCAGCCTGGTGTCTTTGAGACTAACCACGTCAGACTGTAAGCCATTTAACTTCAACTCGTGTTCTCTTATGGTGTTGAGAATCTCCTCCATTTGCGATGGCACAGCACCGCTGACGGCTTCCAAATCTCGATGCACGTTTTCCAACGTCCTTCGATGATCTTGTACTGATTCTTCTATTTTTGATATTTTCGTTTGATGTGTTTGAATGTTGATTCTTGAAGCTACAAGTTGTTCAGTTTGATTTTGAAGTTGCTTTTCTAGGGCATTTTTCTCCTCTTCTAAGTGGACTACTCTCTCTGCTAACTCCACAGACTTTTGATGACTCCTGACATATGATTGGTTCATCATTTCCAAATGAAGCGTTACAGTGCTTTTGAGATGCTCTTCGATGATCTCCCTTTTTCCCTAGGAAAAGAAAGAATAAAGAAAAAGAAATAAAAGAACATTACTTATTATATCTTAAACCATATCGCAATCGCAGCATATCAAGACGCTTCCTACGGTTCTTAATGTTAAGTGTGATTTTTGATTGGCTAGAAATGACCGGCTGTACAGGAGCTATGTCACGTGGATATTCCTGTTTTAGCTAAAGTCATTAATTTGCGCCTTCAAACAAAATGCTCTTGTAGAGTTATAAAGAGCATATCAAACAGTTTTCATCAAGGGAGCACTGACCATGATAAGTTTTTGTTGACTTTTGCAGGAAAGCAGTAAAACTCAAAAAAGTTGGCCCAAATATTTTCAAGTTTCAATCCATCTCCATCGATCCACGCCATCCGTAGCAGCAGACGGCGGGAAAAATTTCAGCGCCATGATATAGTCTTTTGGAATCCAATTGTTCCAAAAACACGTTTTAGCTTTCACTAAAGCCGTATAGCTTTCCTCACGCACGTGGCTAGAATCTATGCTAATTTATCGGAACATCGGAAATTGCTCTATAGAGGGCAAGTAAAACTGCAGCTAAATTGATGTACCAAGACCATGAAATTCATTTTGTTTCTTTCGGGAAAATGAGCTTCGCTGGGGTCCTAGCGTACACGGAATTTGGCCTGTTGCTTGATTCCTAGCTGAACCATATTGAGACCAGGTATTAAATAACTGAGGACAAAATGCTGCCATGTTCGATTCTTTGATATATGCAACGGTACTTTGGCCTTTACATAGTAAATTGTTTCGAATGGCAGCATGACTCAGTGCTTCTTTCATTAGTTCTGCTACAGTTTTTACAAGATTTAACTTACTTTGAAGTAACATCCATGAGGTGTGAAGGGGCAGAGCACTTCCGCTTTTGGACATTCCTTGTTCAGGTGTTCTTCCATCATGTCTCGTGGTATGGCCTCTTTTCCACAATGCAAATGACAAGCTGTTGGAAGTTGGAGGCAAACCTGTAGATGATCCTAAAATAGAAAGTCGATATACTGATGAGATATCCATTGGACAAAATTGAAACTGAATCTGAAACAACTTCAAACAAACACCAGGTGACTGAAATTTGCATTCAAAAACAAAATTAATCTTTAATTGCCAAAACATTTCAGCATCCAATGGTGTTTTCCCCTTAGAAATTTCCCCTTTTAGAAATAATAAGTTTCATTTTCAGTGGATATAGATAACGGAGGTAAGAATATAATTTAGGAAAATTTGAATGCAAAACAGTAGGAAAAAAATATTAATTCGGTTTCCATTTTGTGAATTACGGACATACGCAACTCGCATTTCTTTGAGTCTTCCCCAGAAGACTTTGGTAAGGAGAATAAAGCAGGCAGTAGCTAACATTTAATTAGCGAAACCTGCTATTAATTTTCATACCTTCATTTTGTCGTTTCGGATCATTTCGCTGCAGTATGCACATACTGCTGTCCTATTGATACAATCCTTTGTCCTGTGTTGTTCAAGATGCCTTCTCTCCATTGCCTCCCCGCACGCTTTACACTTTACATCGCCATATTGACAAAACTCTTCATGGACCTTAATGTAAAAGAAAAAAATCAATTTCAACATCTCTAGTCAATTGTGTAGCCAACCGATCTAATTTTGTACATAGAGTAAAATAATAAATATCAATATCAATATGACTGCGGTTTTTTCCCCTAATTGTGATTACACACTTTGGTCCGTATATTTGGATCCGTTTCGTCAAGCTGATAGCGTTGTGACAGCACACTTTCAAAAGGACTACTGGGGCTGACAAGCAAATTTTACTTTCAAAATCAGTATGGCAAAAAGGAACCTGAATGAATTACACCTAGGTTGTTTACCTTTAGATTCCTGAATTCTCCCTTCCATTCACAATTTCTGTCTTTATATCGACAACTACACCGCAGGTCAAGTAACTCCCTTTCACAGCATTTATCACGAAATGATTCCTCTCTTGCAATTTTCTCTCCATCGACAGGACATTTTAAACATGTTGGTCTTTAAAACAGAAATAAAACATTTAGTACATGTCAATACAAGGAGCCCATTTTTTGTGTATTTGGGTCCTCCATGTGCTAATTTGTTACTATGTTACCTTTTCTTCTCTATTGTAAGCCTCAGCCGTAATTTAACTGGCTCAAGGATCAGAACTTCGGGATCAAGTTATCAGCTAGTGCATGTATATATCATGGGACACTAGGGGGGAATTTAAGACCGGATAAGAAAATATATTGCATGTCCATCTATATGTTTAGCTAACCACAAATTATATCGCCGGCTTTTTATTTATAATGGCGTATATTATAAGTTTAACTTAAAAATTCTAAAACGATGCCCAACACTGAGTAACTCTTATAATAAACTGAGAAGATATTTCTGTTTGGAGTACAACATTATTTTACCATTTTGTTAATATATCACTATTATTATATTTAGTAAAATGAGCCTTTTTCATGATCGAATCTAAAGTAAAAAGAAGTGATGAAAAAAATAAATATAAAATATGCTCGGTGTCGACTCAATGCAAATTCAATTCATACAACAAGTATTGAATAATTATAATAATCACTGGCAGTAGAGTTTTCTAGTTTTAAAGAATCCAAGATTTATGTTTATACAAGCAGTAACCATGGTCTTTGTACTTGACTCACCGAAGAAGTGGATCGAGACAGCTTTTACAGAATCTGTGTCCACAAGACGTCTGCCATGGCTCGCTGAAAACACGTTTGCAGATCGGACAGATCAGGTGTTCATCAGGTTGATCAAGAAAGTTTACAAAGACACACATCGTTTATCCGTTCAAAACACTTTCACCCACGCAAATTGCACAATAGTCTTCAAACTCAGGTTTCGAATGTTTTATATCATATACTTTATAACACTGAAGGGAATTTTTTTTACGTTTATTACCGTTTTTGGATCGGAACTAATACGTTATTTCCGTCATATGACTGGAAAGCGAGTGTCACAAGGGCGAGCGAGACACTGCCCATTGATCACGCCTAATTGGACTTCATCCCGTATTTTGAAAGCAAGATCATTGGTTTCTTAAAGGTTCTGAAGCGTGCAGTGAATAAAGCATAGAGCATCAAGCCATAGCGAAAGACATCGAAGGAAGATTATATTCAGGATCTCCCAAATATTAAACAGGTTTTGGGGGAGTCCCCTAATAAATAAAAAATGACAACTTCCGCTAAGGCATTTGCTAAGAATGAATTTATGATCTTAGAAAGAGAAACTTTTGAACAAAACAACGAAATCGTATGAGAAACTGAAAATAAATCAGAAAAAAAAAGAAGTGAATTGCTGGCGTAAGAATCTTTAGTAACAGACCACTCCGAGCTCAAGTCTTCCACTGACTGCTAGCTGGATTAATTGTTCATGCCTCGTAGTCTAGCATTCAAAACCTCGACCACAAAAAGGTTATGCTGAGCATGCGGACAGTTTGCTTTTCTTAACCCTGTTGTTATGTTTCAGTGCTTTGATATTTTTCAGTCATTTGATCTGTTTGTTCGGTCCTCAAAAGCCTTTATGCCACAAATACTGCCAAACAATTAGAGGAATCACTATAAACAATAAGTAATTGACGACGTGGACGAACGAATATTTTTTGACAGACATGAATTTAAGTGAAAAAAAAAATAAAAAGACAGTTATAGTAACAGTAGGTTGATTGTAAATAGAATTTTAATTGAGGTTTTGTAATAAAGATTTTATTATTGTTATAGTCACTCTTTTTATCTATTTTATTTTGCCGGCCATCTATTCTCTTAATGATTGCAGTCATGCGTTGCTCGGGTGGGAGTTTAAGAGTTTGAAGACGGTATCAGATAGTCTATCATAGTCTTTGTTAATTGAATGCTGTCTTAGTACCCTTCCTAAGATCAGTCTGGTGAGTGTTTTCAGTCTGATGAATCAGATAAATAGATTCAAACCACAAAAGCTAAAATACCACAGGGGCATAAGGGCCTATTTACACGGAGGTGGGGCACCCCAGGCAGGTGAGGTAACTTCCTTAGGTGGGCAGCCGGTTGGGGTAACCCGCCTGTCCACATAATCTCTGATATGTTCACCCCGCCTATCATCTAAACGTAATTAAATTAAAATTAGAGATTATATGGACAGGCGGGTTACTCGGCCTAAGCGTGTTAATTCACTTACCTGGGGTCCCCCACCTCCATGAAAACAAGCCCTAAATTTTGTATCGACTATATTTTCATGGAAAGTAAAGGTTCTATCCACACTATTTGTTATGAGATCTGTTTGACAAGCAAAAGAGAGTCTTCGCAATTCAACTGCATTCCAAATGATAATGATCCAGTATTGTTTAACACCGTACATAAGCACTGAAGCTGTTTCCTGTCGTCTGTTGCTCTACGGAAGGAAATGATAGACATGGATTGAAACTTCAAAAACTTGGGCCAACTTTTTCAAGTTTGGATGCTGTGCCCTACAAATTAATCACCAAAAAATTATTAATAGTGCTTCCTGATTACGTTTCAAGCACGAGCATTTTGTATGGGCGGTAAGGTGACGGCTTAAACCCGCGTGACATAAGCCCCTTTAATCTGGAATAATCATTACAGGAAACGAAGTCAACGCGATCAAGCAATCCTATTTCTTAAATCACCTTTTTTGGATAATGGCGTTTGCATTTAGCGGCACAAGATTTTAAGACGTCTAGTATGCACGAGAAAAGGTATCCTTTTCCAGGCTCTCAGATAGTGGGCAAGACGCGAAAGAAGAAGGCACGCGAAAAGTTGCCTCGGAGCCTGGAACAGGCTAGCCTTCTTAGGGGTTCGTCACGCGTTCCTGCCCCTCGAACGTCTGCTGAACTGAAAGATAAATTCCTTTCCCACTGTTCGCAAACATCGGCTGGAGATCACATGCAGATTATCGGAGATACAATCGGCGTTATTGAAGTCAAAGTGTTGACAAGCCAAACACATACGTACACGCTCTGTAGAGTGTGATACGTGACCAAAGATTTTTGCTCTTGACGAGAATTTAGGAGATAAGCGTTGGCTTTATGTATATTTCTCTCTGATGTCATTTGATCATAAAGTCGTTCTTTGGGTGATGCAACGGCGGGGTTACTGAACAAAAGGCAGAATTTTTTTCACACGTTATTGGTTTGTAGTAAGGCCGACTTCCGTTGAGCAAATTTAAACCTCCGAGGTAATTTTTTTCAACGAGATTCTGAGGGTAGCCATTAGTACGAACGCTTGTGAGTTAACTGAGTAGTTTGTTTTAAAACTGTAACGTCTTCACAGTTTCATGAGACCTTTCTGATCTTTTCTGGAGCCATAAAGTCAAGCGCGAAATTTCTCAAGGTCCAAAGTGCACTTCCCAGATCTGGAAGTCTGCTGTGATTGGTCTACGTTTTTTTCCGCTCAAGTCAGCAGACGTTCGTGGGGCAGGCACGCGTGACGAACCCCTAAGAACGTCTGCGTGGGAGTAGACTGCAAAACAGTCGGTTTTTTTTTCTCAAAATCAGTAAAGAAAACGGTAAAGCTTCGCGTAAGAGTCTTACGCGCGCGAAGTGCGCGAGCCTCACACGCTCGTAGGGCGTGTGAGGCGAGAGAAAAAAACCGTCTCTCCCCAGTCTCGCTCTCTGTTTTCAACCTCATTCCAGACCTTTTGTTTGACTGCTCGCGCGTACTTGAATACGCAAAAACGGACTGTTTTGCAGTCTAGCGTGGGAGGCTAGGAACAGGCTAGAGACTAAAGCGCAAACTGCAAGTACAGCAGACTAAACTCCAAGACCGTCTGCGTTATTTGGCAGCTGCATACTAATATTATATTAAGTTCAACTTCTGACGGATGAAATACGTAATCCGGAGTGCCAGTTTCGGGTGAATTGAACAGTTACCGCTTGACAAGAGCATGGCTCTTGCGCTTGATCAAAAGTTGAGATCGCCATGAAGCACTTTACAATTTTTTAATTGGATTATTACCGCAATAATTCTCACTGAAGTTTTGACATGAAAATACGTCATATTTTGAAAACAAAGCATGACTGATCGTCAGTACTAATTTCATGCATAGCTTTTGAACTGAATCATGATGACGTCCGCTATGACGATAAAAAAGCCTAGTAATTAAACACGCCTTTAAAGGGTCGTGACTAGAATGGATACTCCAAAATCAGGTATCCGCTCGGAGACTGGAACTGAATAAAATTATTTTTCGGTAAATCGCTCCGACTCTTTACGACCTTGTTGGTGTTGAAAGACTAAGTATACAAAGACTGAAAAGGCTAAGATGAGAATGGTTACTCCAAAATATGGATCAAAGCCTACATAGAGGTTTGTTGTTTTTCACGTTCTTTTTGTAAGAATTTAGTGCAAGGAGCAAACAATGTCGGTTTAATTACAGTACCACTACCGCGACCGCCGTGTAAAGCTTATTCATAGCAAAGTATCTGTTTGGATAGCTCAGAATAAGGTGGATACTTCAGAATAAGAATGGCCAAAATATGGAAGTTTTGGCCATCTGGATTATTATTACTGAACTTCCCAATACAAACATGATTGCTACGTTTACAAAGAGGGTACAAATACAGTCAACCATTGTGTAATTAAGGCTCAGTTAATTCGAAGCTTGCTTATAGGATAGCAGCCCAGTGTAGGGGGGGGGGGGGGGGGGGGGGGAGGGGTACTCGACCAATATTTGGGTGTAGGCGAGCCGCTGAGGGTTTGAAACCCATACCCTGTTTAGGATGACACCCTCAACTTTAGTACCCAGATAGGACAACTCCCTCAGATGGGGACAAGGTTATCAAGCACACCTGTCAACTTGTACTTATCTTATTTAGACAAGGGTGCCAAGAACCATAACATTTATATTTATTCCAGTAAATGCTTTGGGTGATGACGTACTAAATATCTGCAAACATTTGCACTAAGACGAAATCGATCATGCATGAAACACCCTGTTGTTCAATTTATGGCTCAACATAAACTATTTCTGTTTTCTTATATATTATGGTTGATTTTTTTCACTTTTAAGTGGTAAGTTGCTGTTTTGTTTAGTGTGAGAAGAATGGGTACTTTATGAGATTATAAAAACCAAAGTGACCCTCACAACTTGTGGGATACTCGGGTCAACCTTTTGGTGCGCTGGGTATCTGGCACAATTAGCCAACCACAACCCAAATCCTTTTACAGTCTTTTCTATGACCAAAAGGCCCAATGTTAGCTACTTTTGGCAAATGTAAACTATGTGATTCCAAGTTAGTCATTTTGTATTCCTGAATCTGCTGTGTGAACCTTTGTAACTTCCAGTCACATTGAAGGTGTTGAAAATGCAGCCCCTTTATTGTCCATCCTGTCATGAAATGTTGCCCCATCCACAGGTAGCCCAAACTCTGAAGAAGTTTGTTGGACTTTGAATTTATAAGAGAATGTATGACAATAAACAAAACACGTCCTAAATTCCATTTTTTGACAAAAATAGAAATGAGAATGACTTACCTTGTGTTTTTGTTTTGTTAAGCTAAAACGGCCTGGATATACCAGCTACTTCAATAATTATTATTTATTTATCAGTATTTTAGTTATTCATTTTGATATAAAACAGGTACCACAAGGAAATGATTTGGTTGTTCCTTTTTAATTTAGATGATAGATAACTTTGTAGGTGATAATTATTTGTAATGCACTGAACTGGGGGCCTTTCTCTGCTACCAAAAGAAAATCTTTAACTTTTAAAATAAAAGGGTCAAGGCTTCTTTGCTGAATCAAGGCACTGTATCGTGGAATGCAGTGCTTTTTAGAATTACCGCCAAAGTAGCAGCTTTATTTCCCGAAAGAATGATTATAACGGAAGCTTTATTTAATGCATGGCTAATTTCAAATTTTCAGGTGACTTTCCACCCCAGGTATAGAGGGTACATAAAAGCACATTGTGGAAGTGGAGAAAGAGTAAGAGGAAAGTAAAACAGAGGAAAGAATTATGGGAAAAGGAAGAAATGAAAAAATGGTTGTAGAATTGTAAACAAACAACTTTATTTTTATAAAAGTAATAAACAATTTTTTTTACACATTTTATCAAATTCTTAGAGTGGTTTGTTTGTGGTTTTGAGAATTTTATTAACCAAAGGGTCAAGCTACCCAGACATGCAACTGAGCAGCCATCTGCTTGGCCTCAATGAAATTTTTTTTTTCCTGTTTTCTTTTTTTCTTTTTTTTTTTTCATTTTATTTGCTATTTCTCTTGAAGCCTTCTCCAATTTTTTTCATTTCTTCATTTCTTTCTCCCGCTGGTTTCTCTGTTCCTCACAAGCATTTGACAGCAACACCCCCTGGATCTCCAACTCCTCCTCCTGTTACAGCTGCAACATGGATATACCTGCATGATCATTTTTATTCCATTTTAAATTTATGATAAGCTCACCATACTGAGTGAAAAACAAAAAATAGCCCATAACCAGCTTAATGCTGAAGGTCTTGTCTCGCAAACAAGGAAATGTGTAATAGGTGAAGGGAGGGGAAGGAAAACACCTTCCCCCCCTCCCCCCTTGAGTGGAGGAAGGGGGATGAAAAAGAAAAATAATTCATCCCAGGATCAACAGGATCTATTTCCACACTTTTCAACACCATGATGGTACCACTTGGCTGAGGACTGTTGTCAGAAAGTTCAGTGTGGAATAGGGTATGGAAGGCAGAGAGTTTTGGTGACAATGAGGCTCCTAGGATTTGAAAAAAAAAAACAAAACAAAATACAAGTACAAAAAAGCAACTGTAAATAATTGCAAAAATCCTAATATTTAGGATAAATAATTTGAATTGATACTAGAGTTTTTAGTAAATGTAAAAAGATAGCAGGTGAACATGGGTGGGCTGGCAGAGGCCAGCAGTAGATCTAGGGAGGTCCCCGGCCCTCCATATTTCTAGATCAAATTGAGGACAACAGTGCCAAGAAAATTCTTTTCTAGATTGAGCTCCTCCGTACCTTAAGGTCTGAATGAGTGTCCCAGCTGATTAGTTAATACTGAGGGCGAACATTATGAAGCTCAGTGAGTTACTAGAGAACATATCAGATATGGATAGACGCATTAAAGCCCACCTTAACACCCTGTTTCACTCAAAGACTGGTAATTTTATACGAGGAGGAGAGTATTCTAAATCGTTTGATGAAGCTGTTATTACAAGGCTTGATGAAGCTAAAAAAAGAGTAAACAGTGAATTGAAATATCTTAATGAGAAACTTGATCAATGCAAAGACATGTTTCGCAGTGTGTTGCTGTTGAAAAACAAATCAAGAAAAAGACGTACATGTAGGGTTGTTGGGTAGTTCAGGTTGATCATTATGAAAGTTTAAAATGCTTACTGTGCAAAGGACTTGTTTGTTAAATAATTTATTTTATTTGTTGATTTATTTTTATTTTAAGTGAACAGCAATGTTTGCTAAAAATGGTATGGCCCTCCCCAAAGCCCAGCTTAAATTTTTGGTGACCCTCCCCTTTTTGGCTACATAAAATTTAATGACCCTTCCCCCAATTGCACCAGCCCTTCCCCGCCTCTAATAAATGACAGGTCCCTTATGTGTTTTTTACTATTGTTAACACTTGGAATCAACTAACCCATAAAATTACAAGATGGTTAACTGACCTTAACTGTATTTGTACCCTCTTTGTAAACGTAACAATCTTGTTTGTATTGGGAAGTTCAGTAATAATAATCCAGATGGCCAAAACTTCCATATTTTGGCCATTCTTATTCTGAAGTATCCACCTTATTCTGAGCTATCCAAACAGATACTTTGCTATGAATAAGCTTTACACGGCAGTCGCGGTAGTGGTACTGTAATTAAACAGACATTGTTTACTCCTTACACTAAATTCTTACAAAAAGAACGTGAAAAACAACTAACCTCTATGTAGGCTTTGATCCATATTTTGGAGTAACCATTCTCATCTTCGCCTTTTCAGTCTTTGTATACTTGGTCTTTCAACACAACAAGGTCGCAAAGAGTCGGAGCGATTTGCCGAAAAATAATTTTATTCAGTTCCAGTCTCCGAGCGGATACCTGATTTTGGAGTATCCATTCTAGTCACGTCACCCCACACGCATGCGCGAGCCAATGAAACTTGAAAAAGTTGGCCCGTCTTTTTCAAGTTCTGTCGGAGATTTTGGAAGGCTGTTTTTATCTGTCTAAATCTCAGCCATCGCTCGATAGTTAGCGAAGTTTTGTATTAAGAATCGTTCTGTGGTGATTACAAAATAATTTTTTGGCGTTATTTTGAAATTGTTTGCCTGTGGAATGTTTTTACGTGGATTTACTGTGTCCTCTTATCAGCGGCCGTTGTAATGGCAGAGTTAATGACGGCTACTCCACGATGAGTGATGGAATCTTGGATGGAATCTTCCCTATAGTTCACAGAACCTTTCTATTGAGTTATTTTAGAGGTTGCTGGCTCTTGGATTTTTCTTGTGCTCAAAATATGTGGACATATAATGAAGCGGCTATCGAGTTGGCGGCGGCCGTTTTTGGTAAACGATTACAAGAGCATCAGGTCATGAGTTTCGTGACCAAACGAAACTCTTGGCGAAGGAAACATTATAAAATTCGGCTAGATTCCTTCTTGTATTTATATGGATTCACGGCAAAGATAAACACGACCGTTTGCTCGTCCAGATTGTTCTCAACGGACTTAGAGAGGCACCTTAGTACGAGTTAGATCCTGTAAATGCCATGTTTTTGAACTGTTTGTGTTCGAGCATATTTTTGGAAAATAGCAGAATTTACTTTTCCTTTTTATCAACGGACTGCTTATAGTGGAGTAGTATACCAATGATGCTTGGTTCTGTTTTTCTCGACGTCGCAGTGATTCGGCACGATCGAACAATTTTGCGCGATAATGTATGTTTCCCTAAGATCAAAACAAAGACTTGATGTCTCTTGTTCTATCAGCATCTAAATTATAAAATCACTAGCGACAGATAAGTCTAATTGTTAATGATTTGAAACAGTCTTGGTCTTTATCTTCGGTGTAGCGTCTTTTGTAGCTCGTTTGTAAAATACAACTTCGATTTATTTTGTTGAATAAGACAATATGTTGTTGTTGAATTTTTGTTTGCGCACTATTTTATGAATGGCATGCGTTTTTACGTAAAATTGTCGTCACAATTTTATTCTTGATCTAGCATAACCAGAGAAGAAACGTTCCGTAAATTCTATCGAAAATATCCCTTGTCTAAACCCATTTCGCTTGTTAACCTCTCTAAATTCGGAGCCTTGGACGTGACAGAGAACAAGGAGAAAGTCACGCGTTAAAAACAATAGAATTTTGACAGTTGAAAGTAATTTGCATAACCTCAGAGCGCACATGGAGAAAGTCACGCGTTAAAACAATAGAATTTTGACAGTTGAAAGTAATTTGCATAACCTCAGAGCGCATGCTCTCCAGCTGACATAGCCCCTCGTTCTTTTTTTGATACTATTGTATTCAGGTACTCAAAATGGTTGCGTGTAAGTTTATTAGATGATGGCAGTGTTGCGAAATAATTATTAAAAAATAAAAAGATGATTGAGAGTTCTCGAGCATGAATGCTTGAAAAATTTGCATTAAAAATAAATTCACTAATTAATGAAAATAAACTTACCTCATAAGTTACAGCGTAATGCTTTCATGAGATTGTTTCCATTTTTTAACAAACGCGTTCTGGGGGATTTATCGAATGCTAAAGAATTTAACATCATTCAGTGAGGTAAGGAGGATTCTTTCCACCTCGTACTCTGCCACTATATTCGACACAAGACACGGCCAGCTGCTTTTTTAGATGGTCTCAATTAAAGCCTCCAGCAATTTTAATTTTTCCTCCTTTTTTTTCTTTTCGTCATTGATGCAACGCCGGGCTGTGTCACAGCTGTATAGTTCATTTTGTTCAGTAGTATTGCCAATTACCCTTAGCAAAGAAAATTACTTGCACACGACAAGATCACTGCTTCATGTAAAACAAATACGTCTCCAAACGTCACACGTTATATAGACAAAAAGAATATGAACTCTTGAAAAACTGTTAGGCTAACAAGTATCCAAAAAACCGCTACCACGTACATGATCCTTTTGCACCTCGTTCTAATGTTTTGAGCAGTTATTTTTATGTTTCTCTCAAGTTGGAGGCAGTCCCGACTGATTTAATTTTAATCAAATTTCGACGTATTTCGTGACACCGTGAAACACGGGGAAACCCCCCAACGATAATACGTCAAAGTTCTTTCCGGAAACCTAATTAGCTTTTTAAATTATTTCCACAACCTTCTAGTCTTCAGCTCTGCCTTTTTTTAACTGAGTGATTTAACAAGTTGGTTTGCGTTTGTTTTATCTTCTGCTTTGTAATGATTTACGCAACAACTTACGTTTTTTAGACTGTGATTGCTAAATATAGTCATTTAACACCATGCATGCAGCAGAGTTTAAGACGCATTGTGTAATGCCGCACGTCCGATCGCCAGCGAGGTCAATTGCGTCAGAATAGCTGCATTCATTACATACTGCCACGTAATGTTAATTCTATAAGTACTTTGACAGAAACATCGTGCACAAAATTCATTCGTAAGAAAACCTCCAATGTGCGTAACCGTTAGTGGTGAGCCTGCTTCTCGTGTGAAATTTATCTGTAAAACAGATGAACGACTTACGTGTCCCTTCTGCAAGGATATTTTCAATGAACCTTGGCAAACCTCTTGTGGACATCGATTTTGTAAAAAGTGTCTGGACGCGCTCTTAAGGTAAACTGTTTAAAATCGTTTAACCACCACCTCTCTCCCCAAGACTGAGAGGCTGCTTTGTCCTTTATTTTAACCTCCAGAAACAGTGATGCTTTTGGAACACAAAGGGGACACGGCCTACAGCTCTTACAATCACATTCACATCCATTTTATTGTTGTCGCAGAGTATATCAGTCACAATTCAGACAGAATCAAGAGCCCCCAATTTTTCTTCCGACCTTTTCCTTAAAAAGAACTCAGGCTCCAAGGTTTGCTGTTTTAGACATTTTCTAAAGACAGGTTTTGATCTTTTATTTTGCAGACTTGATATTCCCAAATGCCCGTTGGACGGAGAAGAAATACTACGAGATCAGTACTTTCGAGACAGATGCTGCGAGAGAGAAGTTCATAACCTTCAATGCTTCTGTCGATATAGAGACAGAGGCTGCGATTGGAAAGGAGAATTGGGATACTTAAAGGTAGGATTAAAGCAGTCACTTGGTACGACGTTGACGGACTATACAGTGTTTCGAGACAGGTCACTCAAGGGTACACAGTGACAAACCCTTTTTACGGAGGTCACACAAAGTTGCAATTTTTAATGCTTCTTAATTTAAGTAAGACAAACAGATACTATAACTGATATATTTCTGATATTTATTAAATTCCCGAAATATGAGGGCCCACGTTTCAAGACGTTCTTTTTTTCCAACTGATAAGAGCAAAAAAAACAAAACAAAACAAAGCAATGATCATTTTCAATGCCTAAGACCTGTTATCTCATTCATTCTTCACACGTCAATAACGGTCCATTCCTTCCGCCATGAACGGGGCAGACACCTAAGCTTTCGCTATTGTTCTCGATTTCTCTTACAAGCTGACTCCTGTCATTTTTGCAGAAACATGAAGATATATGTCAGTATGGCAATGAGCAGTGCCAAGCATGTGGAGAGTCAGTGGAGAGAAGGCATCTTGAACAACACAGAACAAAGGACTGTATCAACAGAGCTGTTGCCTGTACATACTGTGGTGGGGAGGTTCTCCAAAGCAACATGGAGGTAAGAAATACATGCGCTTTACCTTTACTATACACCCTACTAAAAAAAGTATTTGGGCGTTAAACTGATGTTATGACTAATTGGCCTCATAAACAGTGCATAAAATATCTCAATGCTTCTTTGAAGACGAGCAAATGGCACATGGTGGTACAAGGTGACAGCAGCGATGAGAAAACACAGGCTCACTGTGTTTTGTATGCGCGTCTGTCGCACTTTAATTTATTCTTTAACCAACGTTTCCCGCGCTTTGCAGTGCCATTTTATTTCCCAAGTAACGATATTCATTGGTAGCGGCTCCTTTGAATCACGCCATTAAGTCTGTCTATAACGCAGGGATTAGGCGAAATCACGTGCCATTATAGAAAATTACTGAATAATTATGATGCAGGTTGGAGTCAGACTGTCTGGGTTGGAGTTAAGTATACTGATCCCGAATACTGATTGGAAATGCGAAATACTTACCATAGATAAATGGGCTTATGCTGATGATAGCGCAAATCCATAACTGGACTTTCCGGCCAGTCCGTCATTGAAATACACTTTTAATCGTCACGGCTATTTTCCTTTCAGAATCATGGAGAAGTCTGTCTTAAATTTCCCATGGAATGCAAATTGAAATGTGGTCAAGACAACATACCGCGTGACATGATGGAGGAACACGTGACTACACTTTGTCCTAAGGCGGAACATTTGTGCCCTTTCAGTTGTCAAGGTTGCCATTATAGAGTAAGTATTATTTTCGGTTTGTGTTTTACAGCAAGCATAATGAGGTCGAGGAAACTGCTTTCCTGTTTGCGATGGCATTTTGCTCTAGTTAAAGTTAATAAAAGCTTATACTTAATCTAAAAAACGGTTTCCCAATGCTCGCTCTTCTTTGTAATGTCGTTCCTATTCCCTCTCAGTCATTAAATACAGCCTTCGATGCAAACGGGTGCGGTTAATTTTGGGACGCGCTTTGCTTCTTCGAAACCCTAATCCAAACGATTAGACATGGGTTGTGTTGGTAGCAGAAAATGGTCCTTGTAATGGGAGGGATGAATATGGGCTTGTGGCGGTCATAACCTCTGTAACCTCGTCCATCACAGATATAATTAACAATTATTCCTCGAGCCCGAATGGGCTCTGAGTCAATAGCCCATGAGGCCTAAGGCCGAATGGGCTATTGACTCAGAGGCCATGAAGGTGAGAGGAATAATTGTTTTAGTAAAATCCAACTAGTTGGTCAAAAATATCGAGGATAAAAAAAAATTAGCTACTTAAAACTAGACTTTAATCCTTTTTTGCCGCCAAAAAGCGCGCGCTTTTCGCTACTAGTGGGCTATAACATATAGCCTAGTAGTAGCTCAACCAATCAGAACGCAGCATTGATAATAGACCACTACTTGGATTTTACTAATAGTGGATAGTCGGGTGTAAAAGTTGCCCCAAGTCACAAATACAAAACTCTGCCAAGGTCCATTGAGGCTACGCTTGCCCATTTTGCTTTAGTTGTCCTTGCGCTTACTCGGTTCTTATATCCTATACCTTTCTTTTTCTTTTATCATTTCTTTGTGTTCGAATATACGCAAAAAAAACTAAATTTGAAATTTGTTACTTTAACGAAGGGAACAAAAGAAAACCTTAACCAGCACATCAAGGATAGCATGGCCGACCATCTGGAAATGATGAACCATTCCACACGTCAGTACAGCCTCAAACAGAAAGAACTGGAGGAACAAGTTTCCGGTCTGATTAACGAGAAAAGCATTCTAGAACGTCAGCTTCAAAACCAAACGGAAGAACTTGTTGCTGCAAGAATCAACGTACAAACACAGCAAACCAAAATATCAAGGATAGAAAAATCCATAAGTGATCAACAAAAAGACTTCGAGAAACTCTATCATGATTTAGAAGCACTCAAACGCGAAGAAAATGAACCTGTTCTTTCGTCTCAAATGAAGGAGATTCTACATTCTGTAAGAGAACACGAAAGAAAAGTGCAATGCTTACAAAGTGAGTTGGAGAGTTTGAGAGTTTCTTCACGTGGCCGAAATGACCTCGGGGTCCAGAGCCTGTCTGGCTCCTCCCATCTTTCCTGCGAGCGACGCTTGGACAGAACTGAGCACCAACTAGCGTTACATGAAATTCAGCAATCTGAACAGGATCTTCAGGTTAGAATGCTGGAGGCTACTTCTTATGATGGAGTTTACCTTTGGAAAATCGACCATTTTAGCCGTAGATTTCAAGAAGCAGTTTCTGGTAAAACTCCATCAATATATAGCCCCCCTTTCTACGTTGGACGATTTGGTTACAAAGTGTGCGCGCGTCTCTACCCTAATGGTGATGGGATGGGTAAAGGAACGCACCTGTCAATGTTTTTTGTTGTGATGAGAGGTGAATACGACGCCTTATCACCCTGGCCGTTCGTTCAAAAAGTGCACTTTAAACTGCTTGATCAAGACAGAGTCCGAGACGCCTGTGATGCATTTCGGCCCGATCCCCAAAGTTCAAGTTTTAAAAGGCCAACATCGGACATGAATATAGCATCTGGATGTCCAACTTTTATTTCTCATCAGGAGCTACGGCGCGGTGGATACATTCGAAACGATACAATGTTTATCAAAATAACAGTAGAGTCCTCTGGAATTCAAGGAGATATATGAACATGAAAAACGTTTTTAGGAATATTTTCTATCTGAACAATGAAAGTTTAATTTTGATTATTTTATTGTATTTCATTTTGAGATGACTTTGGTTTATATAATTATTTCAAGGTAGATATATTTTAAAAGAGACATTTGAGTGTTGGTATTTAATATTTAAAGATGAAAAAATATATTAAGTTATCGCTATACAAATTACGGTGAACAATTTTAAGCAGAGAAAATAATAAATATCTATCTTGTTTACGGAAAATTTCTCTTAATTGTTCTTGTTTGTTTGTATTTGTATACTGAGGAACCCAGTCTAAACTCAGTTTTAAAAGACCGTCTCAGTAAAAAACCGCCTACTCATGATCATTTAGCGTGAAAAAAAAAAATTGCCTGAAACTCTGGCAGGTGAAAGGCTTTATCAAAACCACAACTAAAATAGGTTTGCTTTGATACACAATG